TTTTTTTTAATATTCTGTCTATTTAATTGTATGAGGGGGCTACTGGGGGATGGGATGGTTTATTTTATCTTGTAAGCTGCCTTGGTTGTATTTTACAGAGAGGCGGGATATAAATAAATAAATAAATAAGAAGAAGAAGAAGAAGAAGAAGAAGAAGAAGAAGAAGAAGAAACAATAAGAATAATAAAAACCCTTATATACAGACCCTTTAAAAACTTCAAAACCAGCACCACACAGCATTAAGTGCCCAGCCTCGACAGATTGTGAATGCCAAACAGCACAAAAATGTTTTAACCTGCCACCAGAAAGAGAGCAAGGATGGGGCCAGCTTGACCCCTCTGGGAAGGGAGTTCCAAAGTCTGTGAGCAGCCACCAAGAAAGCCATCTCTTGTTCCCATCAAACAAGGCTGAGAAGGTGGTGGGACAGTAAGAGTGGCAAACTGTTCTCTACTTGCCAAGTTGGGTTCTTTTTTCTATTCCAGAGAGCCTTATCCATAGATGTTACTGGGTCCAAATGCTTGGCTCTGAGCTGTTGACAGAAGGACAGGAATAAGGGATAGCAAAAATACTTTAGCCGTAATTGCAGGTGAGTGCTTTTCAAACAGAAATAGATATTATCCATTTATTGAAAAGAAGAAGAAGAAACGATAGCAAGGAGTTTACATTTAACCTAGATATTGTGAGATGGTGCATCTGACATACAGAAGATGGAGTTGTTCTGCAAGGGAAGATAAAGATGGGGGAAAGGTGGAGGAAGGGAGAGAAAAGAACTAATGATATGATACAGCTTAGGCATCTAAGATAAGAACAGGAAGACGGTGTGATGTGTTAATGCTAGATTAGCTAAAGGGTTAAGAGCTTTTGAAACAGATCAAGGAGGAAAAAGAACTAGAGAGAAATCATAGTCACTTATACCTGAGGGAGATAAAAATCAAGTTGCCACTAAAACGCCCAAGGTGCTTCTATCCTTTTAAGTTATTTTGCATTTTTCTTCAACCAGAAAGGAGCTGAATAGAAAGAAATAATAAGAAGGCTCATAAAAGGCACTCCATAGGACTTATTTACATTGAGCTTGTCTCTGAACTGTAAAGGCACCCCTGTCTTTCTTCGTTTTAGTCCATTAACAGACACAATGTCTTTCCAGTATTTTATGTGTGATTATTTTCATATTATGTGTGTCACTCTGGATCTACATGAAGAGCTGGATGTCATCCTGGGACCTGGACTCTTATAACTTATTGATGTTTCTTCCCCATATAGAGAATGGGGTACAAATATAACTAATGAATAGTAAAGAGGATATTGGCTGGAATAGTGTTGGTGTCTCACACATGTGTTAAGTTCCCCAATGGAAGCAGTTCAACATTTTTGTCTAATGTACTGTTGGATTCCTTCTGCAGGTTGGCCCCACAGTTACAACCCTTCAGCTTGTATCACTCACTTTGTCCTTCTATTCTTTTAGGACACAAGGTGGTATTTTAGGACACAAGGTGGTGTTTATATCAGATAGGCACATGAATTTATTGGTGCATTCTTCTTCTTCTTCTTCATCTTCCAGGTTGACTTTCCTTTATTCAGAATTCTGAAATCCAAAATACCCAAAAAATCAAACCTTCTCTCAAAGGTGTTTGAGAAAATGACACTTTTGTTGGAAAGGTTGGAAAATGTGAAAACTATTGTTAGATGAGCTAGTAGAGTAGAGGAAATGGAAGGGTCACTTTTGTCTTTGTGACTTTCCTGTCGTGTTTGCTCTGTGTGTGGTTTTTAGTGTCACAAAGGTGGGGGATACTAGGACTAGAATTGTCATAGTGTTCCATGTCTCTATATCGGAATAATATGTGCAGCTGGTGGATCAGCTGGTGGATCAGCTGGGAAACCCCAGAGTATGCCCACATCATGTATGGCATGACTAAATGGGTGTGGGGTGTGTGGAGCACAGCAGGTGACACCCCACAGGAAAGGTGACACCTTGGTGGAGTCCTCCTCCTATTGCTGTAAATGGACAAGTGTGCTCCCTGTGGCTTTGCTGCATCCCTGCGGGGAGGGAACCAAGGTGAAACTGAGGAGCCATGAGGGGTGAGTAGTGGGGAGGGGCAAGCTGGTATTCCCCCCACACACACACACACTGGGTATCACCAAGCCAAGTGATGCCACTGCATATACCAGCTCAGAATATAGTTGGCAGTGATCATCCTCGCTTGGTGACTAGATGCTTGTGTTTGGGTAGGATGTAGCAGGGCAAGCATTGGTACTTGAGGCAGACAAATGAAGATAGTCAC